GCTTTCATCTGCTGTGCTTAGTGTGGCAAGTCAAAGCTTAAAAAAAATACTTCATTACAAATATACTATTTTTGGAAAAGGGAGAGTTTTATATTCTCTTGTTTATGGAACTGTGTGTGTGTTCAACTACAGCAATAAAGAGAAGGCATGTTTTAGTGCCTGTGGTAGTTAGGAAGAGCACACCTTGTTCATTGTGGGGATCACAAACCTAAATTCCTGTATCCACACTGTTGCAGGCAGCACGCAGGAAATGCCCTGGATTTATGATGGGAAGTGTTCTTTGAAGTATGATCCATACTGCAGAGTTTTGCACGTTGTCACAGCCTGGACAGCTTTGAGTCTTGTGATTAGGTTCTGATTTCAGTGTAAAGGTATGGTCATACTCTTGGTAAAGAAGCATCCAAAGGAAGCCCAGCCTGAGGCTGGGAAGGTACAGGCTGGGGATGGAAATACCAAGATTAAATTATTGAACTGGGAGGTTAAACCCCATGATTGTGATGGTTCCTTTTGCTTGTAAAGATGACTGGAGTTGGTTCTTCAAGTACATCAAGGGATCAATTTACCTCCTTGGAAATGAAATTCTACAAGTAAACTACTGTATATTAATTCTACATTAATTGAAAATAATATATTTCAGAACTGTTTACTTAAGCTGGTTCCACTTTTCCCCAGTAAACTACATGCAGGCCAAGGTTGCTTTTCCTTAGCTCTTGATGTTATTAAATCACGTTGATGTTGTGTCATTGGAAGTGCAGCCTTTGAAGTAGCCTGCAGGCTCACCATGAGTCTTAGCACTTGGGAAGACTTAACAGCAGGTTCTTTAAAGCTTTTGACTCCAGCTTTTTAAGGTGGAAGCATTGGCTGAAAATAAGACAGTTCTGAGAATGTTGAGTTTGCAGTCAATGAGATTGCAAAAAGTAGAGTATTACTCACACTTTAAAAATTCTTTTTTTCCACCCTAAAATTTTAGGAAAATGCTAATGCAAAACATGCACACATTTTTGTAGTAATTATTGAAATAGAATAAAGTATTGCCTTGTAGCTTTACTGTAGGTTTACTGACAGTGGTTGAGTAATTTTATTATTTTGTTTGTTAACATTTTTCAGATATCTGTTCTTATTTTTAATATTTTATTTCTCATATAGCATTTATCTTCAGAACAGTTGAATTAAGCATCTGAATATTTGCTAGGAAAGAGTTTGCTAAGGTGGTTGTAGCTAAATGAAATCTCTTTTGTGCTTATGACATTGTTCACAAATTTACTTTATGTTTTTAAGTCTCTGACCTTGATTCTTCAAATACTTAAGTGTATCTCTGTAGAGGTCTTGTCTTTGATTAACACTGCTGCTACCCTAGCTTGGAAGCAAGAGAGACAAAGATAAATTTGTTGCTGTGTTTGGTGATCAGCCCTGCAAGCTTTTTTATTTCCCATATCTGCTAAATTGAAGTTGGTGGCATGGTAATGGGGACATCTTGTAAGCCAAATAGCTTACATATGCAGTTGCCAGTAATGTCTCTGTTGCTTGAATGAAAGTGGGCTTGCAGTACTTTACATTTGATTTACTGTGCACTTCATTTGGATGAGTTCCTTAATTGGAATTAACGGGGTTTGGACTTGGGTGAATTCTGTTAGGAAATTGGCTGTGGTTTCCACTTACATTTTGGGGTAGGTTTTTTTTGTAGGGTCTGTCTTGGAGCTTGAAGGATGATTTTATTTAGTATCTTATGGATTCTCTCATCTACCTTTCTTTTTCAAAATAGAAATACTTGCTTCAGAAAGAAGTTGTTGTAATGTTGCCTAATTGATCATTTCAGATGTAAGGTTCAAGTTTTAATTTTTTTTTTCTCTTGAGTTTTAAAGTGTTACTTTTGTCTTGTTATATTCTCACTTAAATTAATGGGACAGACTGGGCCATTCTCCATATTGGTAAATATCACTTTTACTGTTGCATTCAGGAAGGTAACTGGTTGCTTTGTGCCCTGCTTAAGAAAGCTGGAGGGCCTGCCTGTATTGTAGGGGTAGGTGTTGGGTTTTCCCTTCCTTCTCTTGGAAGTCTTCTAAGTCATTAATGTCATTGTGATATTTCTGTGGAAATTTATAAGAACATATGAAGCCATCAAATTCAACTGAATGAATATCAATAACTCTAATTGGCTATTGTGAGGGTGTAAGGATAATTTGTAGCACATTCTGAAACAAATTCCTAATGTTGTAAAGCACTTTTGCTTGAAATAGCTGAAGACAAGTGCTCCTTAATTTGGTTATATGAAAATACACAAGTAATATACTAACGGTTTGTATTTTGCAAACATGTATGTAATAAAAAAGCACATTTGCAACAGCCATCTTCAGATTGCCATTAGTTCACAAATAAAGGGAAATTCTAGACACAGAAAACATGAAGTAAATCCAAACATATTAATCTAGGACATAGTGTTTTCAGTCTGCCATAAATGACTATCCATTTATGACTGCATTCTGGTTTGGATATCATTGGTGGTAGATTCAGTCCTAAGATGTATGCAAGACTGGTCTTGTCTGCTTTTGTTTTTAATAAAAAATAATTTTAAAATAATTCTGCATTTAACAGTGGAATTTCAGAGTACAATTTCTGTTACATCATAGTGAAGAAGAGCAAAGTGAGGAAGAGAAGGGTGATGAGACTAACTGCTATAAAAGATCCAATGCATATAGTTATTGAAGGCATAGAGCTAAAAGGTCAAAATACAGATGGTTTTGAACACCACAGTACTCTTCTATCCCCACTGTATGGAGTACCCCTCTACAGCAAGGGGTGCCTGTGCCAGAACTCAGAGCTTTTAAAATTCTGTTGTGCTGCCCTGTGGTTTTCACCCAGCCATATGGGGCTAGAACAGAAATACAGATATCTCTTCTCATTATAGCAATTAGAGATGGTGTTTTGGGAATGTTATTTGCTGTAAATGAGACTTTTTTCAAAAGCAAATCAGCATGAGTCTAGCTTTGATCCTAGAGGATCAGGTAGCTATTACAACTTTTAAGAAAGGAAGAGACAGGCCAGTGCTAAACACTTCAGATTTAAAAAAGCCCCAAACTTGTTTGATATTCTCTACCTGACAGAGTGACTGCATTTTTGTAAGTTACTGTAATGGATAAATCCAAGTTCTTCTGACTTGCCATAGTGTTTTAGCTTGATCTGACTTATGTTAGGCATAGGTTTTCCTTTTCTGGACTTCTCCTGCCCAGTCTGCTACTTACAGCAAATTCTGTGTTGCCTTTGTGACATGAACACTCTGTGAGTTTACAGCATAAGCAGATTTCCATTTGATCAAAAATGGGAAAAAAAGAACAAACTAGTAAAGGCATGATTAGGTTAATAGATATATTAACCAGTACGAAGGATTCATACAAATGAGACTTCCAGATAAAAGATCAGAGGTAATTTATGCATTTAGGCAAGATGTGTGCATGCAGACACACACACTAACCCCTTCTTTTATGAATCCCTTATTAGTTGTGCAAGCCCAACCCTGTGATAGGACTCTAGTGGCCAATGTTAAAATAGACTGTGGGAGTGTGGAGCTTCTTCTGAAACTCCTGATTGATGATTGCAAGAATAGAAAAGTTTTCATAAATCCTTTTTAATCTTTTTCAAATTGGCTTCTGTGACTTAATATACATTTTGGATGAAATGGATCTCTTCAGCTTGTATACTTGATAAGAATTTTTAGAAATGAAAAAATCTAGTTCACTTCACCACTGAAAGCTAAATTCACCTGACAGCATTCTGGTTTTAATGGCAGGTTGTCATTCCAGTACATGGAAGCAAATGAATTATGTTGTGTCATTCCTTTACTTAGGCTGCTTATTGGGGAGGAATCTTGCATCCTCAGGGTGTTCACTGAATCAGACATCTTTTAGTGAACTTCCTACTCAAAGGATTTTATTTCTGAAGTCACTGCTATTCTTCCTTCCAGATAAATTCCATTATGTGTTGCCAATAACAGTGCCTTGTTACTTTGTTGGAAGTGAAATTAAGTAATGCCTGTTCAAGTGCTGGAAGGCAGATGATGCAGTAAAAGTATTTCAGCTAACCTTAAAAGGATACATTCACTCAATGACTAAAAATAGGGAACTTCTTTTCAATGCTTAGGCTTTTACAAATGAATGTTAGATTGCCAGTAGTCACACAGGGGATGAAGCTGTCTCTGTAGGGGGTCAGTTCTGTTCTTTAGAAATGCTGCTGGTGCAGTGCAACCCTTGAAAGCAATGTGGTTGCATTAATTCTTCTCTGCAACTCATTGAGCTGAAAGTAGGTTAGGACACGTGGATTTTAGAGTACTCAATATACATGTTGTCTCCCCTTGGTCACATTTTAACCCAAGCCAATCTGTTGCAAATAAAATTAGTAGCTTTACTGAATGTTCATATCAAAATTATTTTTTGATATTGCAAAATCAGTAGGGTGGGATAGGTGTTCACTTAACATCTTCATCAGGAGCTTGGCAAGTGAACAAGCTTGCTACACCTCAAGATGTGTGTTATCCAGGGGCTGTCCAGGGAACCCTTGAAAGCAATGTGGTTGCATTAATTCTTCTCTGCAACTCATTGAGCTGAAAGTAGGTTAGGACACGTGGATTTTAGAGTACTCAATATACATGTTGTTTCCCCTTGGTCACATTTTAATCCAAGCCAATCTGTTGCAAATAAAATTAGTAGCTTCACTGGATCTTCATATCAAAATTATTTTTTTGATATTGCAAAATCAGCAGAGTGAGATAGGTGTTCACTGAGCATCTGCATCAGGAACTTGGCAAGTGAACAAGCGTGCTGCACCTCAAGATGTGTGTTATCCAGGGGTTGTCCAGGGAGTTCATTCCACAGCAGAGTGTTTAATGCAAGGCTAATTAAAATATGTGCACAAGAGTTAAAAAATCAAATGGCAATTAGTCGTCAGCATAATTATTATGCACTGTATCCCTGAAATCTTAATTATTTGCTTTTGTTTCTGGTTTTCAGATTGTTTGAAGGACGGTCACCAAGGAAGCCTGAGAAACTTAAGACCCTTTTCTGCTATTTTAGAAGAGTCACAGAGAAAAGTAATCCTTTATTTTTTTTTTTTTGAGCTACAAAGCAGATACAGGAAAAATTTAATCCCATTAAATTTAGATATGGCTATGCAGCATTATGATGGAAGTGTGTAACAAAGGCCAGCTTAAGTGCACTGATATTCATTTTAAAGTCACTTCTCATATAGATGGTGTATGCAATTAATTTTTTTTTCAGAGCTTACTCTGTTTTCTTTCTTCTGACAGATGTGGGAGGGTGTGTAAAAATTTATACAGGTATATTTTCACCACTTTATACATAAAGTGTGTGTATATATAAAAATACATATGTGTAATGTTTGTAATATATGCAATTGCTTGCTGCACTGCATGGGAGTGAGAATGCAGAGGAAACAGCACCAGATCAAATCTCAGGCTTAGAATCTGAATCAAGCTTCAGATTTCCTGCAGTAGTTCTCTTGACTATAACTTTCATAGTTCAGAGCGATTTTTTCCCCTACTTGTGTTGATATTTCAGATTTTTCCCTTCTTATTCTCCCAAGACAAAGCTGTATGAAGTTTGCCCAGTTCAAATAAAACAAATAACAAGACATGAGAAATCTCCAACTCTCAGAATTTCATGTGCTATTTTCCTTAGTGTGCATAGTCAGATCTTCTGTTGCTACCATGAATTTGATAATCTGCATAAGCTTTCAAAAATAGCTTTATTTTTGTGAGAATTGTGTCAGAGCTGATGTATTGTATTTTAGGGAAGAAAGACATTTTACTGTAACAGCATACCTCATATCTGCTGCAGTATCCTTATTACAGTTGTTTGTTTGTTTTTTTTTAAAGACTTTTTCTTTACATGTCAGTATTTCACTATTGGCTTCAAATCCTCTTGGAAGGGTTTGTTTTAAAAGAAAGACAGCTTTAAGGTATTAAATATAAAAATCCCTTTACTTGGTTTGGTCTGTCTTCAGTTTATCATTTTAATTCACCACAAATTAAATGCAGCTACATCCTGTTTCAGCTATCAAACCTTCAGCAGTGTCAATAGAACTAAATCTCTGAGGTAAAAAGTAAATTGTGATCTATGTGTGGGACTGAGAAGAGTTATAGTGTACTAGTTTTTTTTTTTTTAAATTGAGTAATAATGTTTTCATGCAAACCAAATCCTAGATTTATGCAGCTGTCCCTTCATACAGGTATGAAATCTCTTTGGAACATGCTTTCAGAAACTACCCTATTAGATGTCTTAATGTTAAAATTTTAATATTTAATGGTTTTTTTTGAGTGCTGTTTTCTTGAATTAAAAATTCCTGTCATACCTTTTAAAAGATCCCTTTTCATTTGTCCAAGGAATTAGTAAGACTGAAGTCACTTACCTCTATAAATTACTGTAATGATTTTGCAACTCTTTTTACTGGACGTGGTAGTTGAATTCCTTGTAGAGAACACAGTGGAGACTGTATTAGTTGAAGAATTTCAGTTTAAAAGGTGAATGCTTAATTTGTAAAATATCAGCACTGATACCAGTGTTCCCCTGTGGAAAAGCATTTGATTAGGGGAAGCTGTGCACTATTTTTTTTATAAGCACAAGCAACCTTTTTTTTTCCCCCTATCATTCTTGAGGAAAAGCACAGGATTATTTAAGTCTTTGGGAAGGATTGAAGCTGATGTTGCATCCTTTCTTGCAACGAGCAATGACTCCTCTTTTTCTCTTGAGGGCAGGAGTCTTTCCTTAGTTAAAATACAGTGAATCTCACCAGCATCCTGGCAGAGCTGATAACAGCTTGATTTGAAATCCATTTACACTGCATCTTTATTGACATAGTAGGACTTAATTGGAAATAGGAGCTACTGCTTCATCTCTCCATAGGTCAAGTACTCCGTGCATTGCCTGTTGACACTGAACAGGAGACATATCTAAAGGTTCACAATTTTTTTTCAAAGTAGCATCTCTTACTTCCAATTCAACTATCATGTCTTTCAACTGTCTTACTTTTTGAGTGGAAACACTGTAGTCTTTACAGTTTAAGTGAAAATAACTTAGAGTTTTTCCTTGACCTGGAAAAAGAAAAATACTGAAACTCCAAAGAGAGAAGAGAAGTGAATATTTTGGTCTTCATGTTACTTGTGTTCATTTTGAGTGTGAACTGTCAGAGGAGGGTTCAAAGCCACTTTTGAGGAAAGCTAAGCACTTATGTTTCTGCCAAGAATGATACATGTTGTAATTTTAAAAGCTTACCACTTAAAATAACTTAAGTACTAAAGCTTCAGTAGTTAACACATTCTCCTCTGGGGTTGGTTTGTCTGTAGAACCAACAGGACTGGTGACATTCACAAGGCAGTGTCTCCAGGAGTTTCCAGACTGGGAAAGGTAAGTGAAACATCCTGTCCTAACCAGAAATTTCTTAAATCCTTGATAACTGAATCCCATTCATATGGAATTGATTCAGGCTTTGAACTATTACAGAAAGCAATGTTTGGTATGGATTGTTATGGAGGGAAGTACAAAGGGAAGTGGGTGAATTCCCACAAGTAATTTGAATGCCTTGAGTTTTCCAGTATGTTTGCTTGCCTGTGAAGCCAACAAGTCTTAAGTGAATTTTTGGAACAGTAGTGCTCTTGCTTGAGTGGGGAAAAGAGAGCTGAGATTACATGATTTCAGAAATTACAGGAAAAATAATGAATTATGGGTGGTAACCAGTGTGAAAACACAAGGGTTGCAGCCTTCTTGCTGCTTAGCAAGTTAATGTGGGACAAACTTTGGTGAAAAATGTAGAATTTCAGTTTTGGGCTTTTATGGTTGAAGAGGTGGAGAAATGGAACAGCTAAGTTAAAGCTGTATGAATTGTTTCTGGAAAGGCAAATGTGTTTTCTTTAATCCCTTAGGGTTTCTTTTTAAACTACATTGTTTGAAGCATGTAAGAAGTTTGGAGTTGGATGTGTTTTCTTTCAAAATGGATGTCTGTATGGAGATGATTAATCATCCTTTCTGTGCAATATTTTTCCTCATTGGTAGGTCTCAGAAAAAACTGTCTAGATTACATGTCACCCATGAAGGCACCATCGAAAGCAATGGACAAGGTATGCTACAGGTAAGCACATGTAACAGTAAATATGGCTTTAGGTCATGTTTTTGTCACACTTTCATGGCCTGCCAGCTTAACAAAGTTATTTGTTTATCCTCATTTGACTCAAATGACAAGATGTTGTGCAGTGTAAAAGAAACATCAAGATTAATTCCATGGGCAGTCTTAGCACTGTCAGTATTCCCCAGCTCATCTAGGTTTGCACATGTACCTGGTAGAGAAAAAGCTGTCAGAAAATCACACACCCTGGACAGCTTCAGGTCTTCTGGTTCAAACCAGGATCAAAATTGACAAGAGAAAAGTTTCGGGCTGTGATCTTGATGAGTTGTCAAGGGTTTCAGTTTATTTTTTAAAAATTATGCTTGTGCCCCAGACAGTGACCAGGTCAGTGGTTCAGGAGACTTTCTTGCTGCTGCCAGCACCATTGTTTTGGTCTGGGAGGCAGTCAGCAAAAGAAATTCATAAGGAGGATGTCTTGTCCATATCTATAGCAAGGAACACATTTGAATTTTCAAAGTAGTTGTCTGGTTTTAGCTTGTATTTTTAAAAACAAACAAACAAAAAAACCCCAAACCAAACAAAAACCAGTCTGCCTTCTAGAATTTGTTTACCAAAAAAACATTACAACTACTTTAGCCAGGAACAAGTGCTGCAAAGGAAGAAGAAGGGTGAGAATAGGAGGACTTTTAATGCAATGCATTTTGCTCAATCTCAGAAATGTCTCATGACTTTATGAAACTGGAGCACTCAAATGTATATTGAAATTATTAAGAATTCAGTAATAACCATTTTTCTGCTGTCTCTCTACTGAACTATACTATAACCTCAGAGGTGAGACAAGGTTGAATGATGCCTTTTCATGTACTCTTTCTGTTGCACTCTGCAAAAGGGAGTATTGCCTAGGATGCTGTATTCTTCCTCCTGGCTACTTCAAGTCTTATCAAACAAAATATCTCTGTTAGATGAAGAGCACTTACTCCAGAAGGGAGCAGGATGACCAAGGCTTGACAGCATAGGAGACCCCAGCCTCAGCAGGCAGGGTCAGTGGCTGGGACACTCAGGAGCAGAGAAGATGACAATGATGGTTTCTGCTGACAGGCTGGTGGTAGTCATACAAAGGCAAGGTGATGAGACAGGTCACAAGGTCAATCTTAGAAGTCCTGTCAGCAAAGCAGGCATCAGCAGAGGACAGGGCTGGGCCTGTGCCTATACACAGTGTGTCTCAGTTGAGGTCCAGGACAAGGGGGTGTGTTTGTACAGGCCCCATGTGCCAGGGGCAAGGGTGGTGGCCCAAGGTGAGGCTACTCAGGACAGTTAAGTGCAGTTGGGGCCCTGATGCACTGAACATTTGGGTAGCCTTTGTGTTACTTTTTTGTGTCATAGTCAAGTTCAGCAGATCTTAAACACAACTGAAGTGTTTTGATACTTCCAGGATAAACTTCAGGAATGCTTGCTGTTATAGTGGCCAGCTCTTGGTGTGCTTTAGGCTTGACCAGAGTCACTCCAGAATCAGTTTGTAATCTACAGAGATGTCCATGCCACTCCAGCAGCTTTTGTTCCCCTCCTGTAAATGTGTTCTCATCAGCTATCCAAGTAAAAATCAGTAGGAAGCTAAAAGCATTGCAAAGATGAAGTGGCTTTTAAAAATTATAAGTTCATAGGGGCAGTTAATTTGCATAAATAGTAACCACTTTATTGGATAAACCAAATCCTTTTAAAACTGTTGTCTGTGTTAAAATCTTAATTTTCAAAATATGTATTACAGAAAAAAAAAAACAGAGTCCAAAGCTTCTCTGTTTCAAGTAGAAACCTTAACAGTTAAAATGACTCGCCTTGTTTGAACGCATTCCACAGAGCATTCCTAAGATCCTTTTGGGTACAGAACAACTGATACAGGGACAATGCTAATGTAAAAATTCTTTGGTGTTGATAGTTGGGACAGAATGCTTATTAAAGGACAACTTAATTCTTCAATATCCATAAAATGCAAAAAAATTCTGATCTGCTGTTTTCATCTTTACCAAAATGTGTTTTATTCTTACATACGTGCTCTTCAGAGAAAACCCACAAAACTACTTTGAATTCAGAACATTTGAGATGCAGAACTTTATTTTGCTTTGTAATATCTCACTTGTCTTAAGTTTTCTGAGAGGTAGGAAGGAAAAATACAAGAAAGGCTTGCTGTTCATCAGGCTCTGTCCTGCTGCTTGCATTTTCAAGTGATAGCAGCAGATTTCAACAGCATTACTGAAATTTCTGTAGGACTTTATTTACTTTAGTAAATGAAAGGATTTTGTACTGTTCACTTATGTCATAATCCTCCTGAATATATTTTTGTTAGGTTGATTTTGCAAACCGTTTTGTTGGAGGTGGTGTGACTGGGGCAGGACTAGTACAAGAAGAAATTCGGTTTCTGATCAACCCAGAACTGATTGTATCGAGGCTCATCACTGAAGTCTTGGATCACAATGAATGTCTTATCGTCACAGGTTAGTCTTTGAAGAAAATGTTCTATGTATAGAAAATATACTTCAAGTTAAAGTTTTTTGTGTTTAAGTGCTGTAGGGATAATTTGTTTAAAGTCAGTACTCATTTGATGAAGAGCTTCCTCCTTCACCTCGCCTTTTAAGATCACAGGGCAACTGTTCTGATAGATGTTTTGTGAAGGGAACACCAGCAGACAAGTTGTTTGGTGTTTTTTTTTCCTCCAGGTATAAGTATTTGAGGGCTCAGTATTATTAGGCATAGCTAAAGAATACTGTTGGGTAATATTGGAAAATATAATACTAATATCAAACCATGGGTACTTCTCCAGTATGTTGTTGAGGGGCCGTGCATGGAGATGTGCTGCATGTCCAGTGCTTTGCTGAAAGTGTCTTTCCTTTTGTTTCCACCTCTGGCATAGAACTTGGTATGTTTTATTATCCATTGGATCAAAACTGTTAAGATCAAACACCAAATATCACCATGAAGAAGTAGAGGAGCCCAGGTCCTGCTGTGTCTCAGTTCTGTATGCAGAAACACTGTGTGCACTTTTCATGACTAAAAAATAAACTGATGCTATAATTTTTTTATTTACTCTAAGGAATGACTATAAAGAAAAAAATACTTTGATCAGACACATCCTCTAGGCAAATATTATAATAGGTGATGTATATTTTATATTTTTCAGTCTGCTATAGTAAAACTGTTGTCTTAACTTACCTAAGATGCATCAACAGTCAGGAATTCATAGAACTTGGTATGTTTTATTATCCATTGGATCAAAACTGTTAAGATCAAACACCAAATATCACCATGAAGAAGTGAAGGAGCCCAGGTCCTGCTGTGTCTCAGTTCTGTATGCAGAAACACTGTGTGCACTTTTCATGACTAAAAAATAAACTGATGCTATAATTTTTTTTATTTACTCTAAGGAATGACTATAAAGAAAAAAATACTTGATCAGAGAGATCCTCTAGGCAAATACTATAATAGGTGATGTACGTTTTATATTTTTCAGTCTACTATAGTAAAACTGTTGTTTTAACTTACCTAAGATGCATTAACAGCCAGGAATTCTTACAGGTATTAAAAAGCATTTGTTGGAAAAGTCCTTCTGAAGCACCTCTTCCTCTCAAATGCATACACAGTAGAAATTTGAGCCTAGACCTTGCAAATCTTATTCTGTCCTGAGCTATTGATTGTATTGGGCAGAACATCTTTTGGTTTTACTCATGTATTGTGTAATCTTTTTTTAAGACAGTGTTTTATTTTGTTTTTCCATCCTGCCAAAATTAATGCCTTTTCTGTGAAAACTTTTTGATTAATTGGCTGTTGCTGTCACCTTTTTAGAAAAAAATGAGTCAGAAACCCCTTGGCTATCACTGATTTCTTTTGTCTATTTTGATTATGATACTATATCAAGGTTAACATATTGAAGTCCTGTCCTTTAGGTGAGGCCCTCCTGGGGAGGGTAAAAACAGAGCATACCTGTCAGTCTGTCTAATAACTAACAGGGGGGAAAAGATTAAAAGAATGTTTTGAAAGACTTCCTTCCATTCCTCTGAAAAAAATAGTGATCTGACATGAACGAATAAAGGTGAGGATGTTGTTTTCACTGTGGCAGTATTTTCTTTTTCTTGAGTACTTTAGTATTTTGCAATTAGTATTTGTGATACAGTGTTCTTCTCTAATGGAAATGGTCATTCCATCATTTTCATTTCATCCCTGGAGCTCTTCCACCTCACTTCTTAGCCAAGTCTCCACTGTGTGTCACAGTTCTCCTGATAAATTGCATTCTTTGTGATTCATCTTGACTCAGCAGCCTAATGGGTATAACTGTGTAGCTTAAATTTGCAGAAGAGTCTGAGAAATTGGAGAGAAATTAAATTTGTTGTGATTGCACAGTATCTGGTTAAGATCACTGCTGTAATGACTATGGAACTGGTCATGTAAACAGTCAGGTCCTTCAACATCTACCTCCAGAAATGTCTGCTGCAATGCCAGATATTCCTACAGCTGCATTTCTGGTAGAGCTGTGAATAAGTCAGTGGTTTTCCTTCAGTCATCTGTTATGTTGTTTGGTTTTGGTGGTGTTATTTTTTTTCCCCTCTTCAAGTTCACCTATACTCAGGCAGCACTAAGGGCAGATGAAGCTGTGTTCCATGTTTGCTTTAAATATACAGATTGAACAGCAGCCAGTCCTGATTGCATCTTAGTGATCCATTTTCAGAGATTTCTAAGCACATTACCCATGCACTAAATGAGATCAGCTGAAAATTTACTCAGAGGGGAAAAATTGTTTTTCAGCTGGATTTAGCAGGCTGATGGTGCTACTCTCTGGAGAGCCAGAAGACTAATTGTGGTGCAAGATAAGGATCAGAAGAACTGATGACAAGTTTCATAAAGAAACTTGTATTTTTGAATTATACTTGTTATACTTTTGTCTTCGTTGGTTTTTGTTTTTTTTTTTTTGTAGCTTGTTTTTAAAGTTCTGATGGAACTGTCCTATTATACTGTATTTCTGACTTGGCTTTTTTTACCTCTGTTTATTGTGGGTTTATGGTAAGAAAAAAGATTCACCAGAAGCATTAATATATCCAGTTCCTCTCATACTGCTTCTGTTCTCCCATTAATAGCTGTTGGTATCCCAGCAGTTTACAGGCAAAAAGTACTGCCAGTTGAGTAACCATTTTTGTCTGACAAATTTCTAGAGCTTCACTGATGAAAACCCATTGATTTTCATTAACTTTTGTATCTGGGACATGAGTTTAGAGTTTGTGTGATTTCTTTGAATTTCTCTGTTATTGATTTTAAAAAAAATGTGTGTATTTGCTTGTTTATTTGTTTCTTGGTGCTTTTGTCATCAGACACTGCACTTCCTTAAAAATGCATGAAAACAACAAACCTTGGAAAAAGTCAGCTTAATTCTTTGACTGTCATTTAATCTGTCCTGTTACAATGTCTTGATGACTTAGTCTTTTCCTTTCCACGTGCTAGACACCAAAGGAAATGCTTTCCTTTCAAGATTGGAAGATTTAGGTTGTCCCTTAAAGAGAGCTCTCAGAAAAGTCACGTACTTCCCTTGTCTGTCTTTTGAACTATTTACTCAGACATTTTTTCCAAGTGTATCAGTAAAATTGAACATTTACTGATGCCAGGAAAAGTCTTACTGAAGGCTGATAGCCTACAATTGGATTAGAAGGCTGCCTTCTGAATATTTAAGCTGCTCACGGTTGTCCTTTTATACAAGGACCCTACAGTTGTTTTTCTAACCTCTTGGTGAGGAATCTTTTACCATCTAACTCATTTTGCATAGCAACGTTTCAAAATAGCCTTGAGTTGTATTTGTGTCCTCTGCATTGCATAGTCATCCAGACAGATCTAAATAAATGAGTGGATTACAGGCCAGATGATTTAAAGAAGCACTGATAAATCTTTTCAGTTAAAATGGATTTGGGTAAATGGGCAAAATGTCTTGAAGTATACCTATAATTTTAAACACTTTAACAACATGTGTTTTCTATGCTTGAGGCAAACATTTAAATGCCCATGTCAGAGGAGGTTAAAAGTGAATAGTTTTGTTTCTGATTGTTCAACTTTTTATATTATTTTTATTTAGAGATTAAATTTAAACACTTGTATTCCCAGAGTATCACCAATCTGTGTGATAGTTAGGCATTAGTCTTGTCTTAATCAGATGCTTCGTGCTGTCAGCTTACATGTCTTTCTAAAAACCTATTTTTCTGTTATATTTATAGGCATAGCTGGTGCCACTATTTATAATTAAGGTGTTGTTTAACAGTTGTCTTCTTATTGTTTATAACTTGTCTAAGTGTACCTGTATGAGCTGTAATTTTCCAAACCAGATATTCTCTTCAGTCCCCTGCTTTTGAAATTCAGCTGTTGCAAGCTCAAAACAGGGGAAAAATTGTGATTTTGCTTTGGGATTACTTTAGGAGTATTTCTTTGAAGCATTTGTTGATCCCTAGGTTTTAAGGAAAGGTCCTGAAGTTCAGTAAAATTAGGTGAAAAGGCAACATTTTAGAAAGGTTATGGTACTTAGTCTGAGTTAAAACACTTTCCTTCTTAGTTTTGGGATAAACCTTTGAAAAGGACTTGGTATAGCAGAGCACAATAGTGAAAATTACTGACATTCTTGTTGAGCTACTTTAAGGCTTGCCATGATATGCTGCTGGACTCTTTCACAGTGTAGCCAAGTATGTTCAAGACCAAGGTTTTGTGGGTCCTCAAGCTTTTACAGAAGTAGCTTGTTGGTATTGACTGCTGCAGCTGAGAGCAGTGGCCTTTCCATTGATTCAGTGCCATTAATGGCTGAGATAACTGAGAATTCGTGTTGGGAACCATAGTGCAGAGATCAGGCTGAACAAATGTAAAACAAAACAGTACTGGGGGAAAGATACATGTTGGGCAACAAGACTGGGAATCTTTACAGTCCTGCTTACCTGCACATAAGGGTGCCCCCAGGGAACTGCAGGCAGCAGACTGGGTGACACTGGCATGTGGGAACTGCCACATGTATATCTGCTTTGGTTTTGACTAGCAGAATTTTCTTTGGCTTTATGGATTTTAGTTTTGTTAGAGAAATAAAATGTATAAACGTAGAGCTTGCCACATACACTTCTGAATCTCTTCAGGCTTTTCTTCCTGTGTTTCCTAAACTGTCAGCCCAGATTTTTTGCTAAATTGTGATGAAATAGGGTTTCCATGTTTTCAGTAGTGGAGTGGACTATTTTACCATTGTGTTTACAGATAGTAGCCTGAAAAGAAAAAAACACAAGCAAAATGGTAGTGGTGCAAAGGTTTACAGTCTGTTAACCAGATATTAGCCAGTAAAACTTTAAAGATGACAGCCAGTTTATTAAGAAGCTATTGAACTTAAAAGTGGCAAAGCTGAAAACTATCTCCTTGTTGTACATATTGTATGTCCAGTATATATCTTGTTACATACTGGAACACACGTAGACCTGCACTTGTGATGTTCTATGGTGGGTGCTGCACATCATCTGTGGAAAAGAAGCTTCTACTGGGCACAAGATTTTGTATTCCTGGTGCAGATATGACTCTATTTTCCATTGCTTCTGAGAGCTACATGTTCATTCAGAGAAGCAGTGATTCCTATGAAAGATTCACCTAGTGAAAAATGTGTGTATTTTGTACGTAATACAGGCAATAATTTGTTTCAGGTACTGAGCAGTACAGTGAGTATACAGGCTATGCAGAAACCTACCGGTGGGCAAGAAGCCATGAGGATAAGACCCCAAGGTAAAGTTCCACATAACTATTTCAAATGAAGGAATAAATCTTAAAAAATTGAAAACTCGGTGCTTTAAGTATTTCCTAGCATTTGCCTTAATAGAATTTGGCTGTTTAATCCTGCTGTCTTCAGCAGAGCAAATAAGGGAAGAAAGTTATCTCATATTGATAATGAGCTGTAAATGGTAATAAATGGTACCTGCCAATATATCCATTTGTGAACCTGCATCTTTTACAGTTGTCTCTAATCCAAATTTTTAAGATTCTGATTGAACTATGGATTGTAATGTCACAAGAAGTTTGATACCTCAAGTGCCACAGTGCAGCTGATGTCTGACAAAATAAGATTTTATATCATGCAGCTGAGTAGAAAGCTCTGAGCTTATGAATTTTCTCCAACAATGTTATCATGGTACATACACAAAGTTACTCATTTTGCATAGAAACATACACAATGTGCTCTCATTTAAATGTTGGAGGGAGACAGAGCCAAAGTGCTTTTCTTTGACCTTGTGGTGTTCTTATGTATTCAATAAATAGTGCTGCATAATTAGTTTTGTTTCACGTTTATGCCCAAAGTCTAGCCAGTGTTTTTCTAATTTCTCTCATTTCTGATGCTGCTTTCATTCCTGACCTGCAAAGGAAAAAAGGGCTCCACTGTCTGTTATGAGCTCACCTTTCTGGCTTTTTCTAACAGAAGCTCTACAGGGAATTGCCTATTTTGGGTCATGATTATATGGCCAGTATTAGACAACTAATGCCGCCATCTTTTCTCCTCCATCTAATTTTAGGGATGAATGGCAGCGGCGCTACACTGAGATTGTTGCTATAGATGCATTTCATTTCAGACGTTTCCTTGACCAGTTTAGTCCAGAGAAAATCAGAAGAGAGCTCAACAAGGTAACTTCTTTACAATGGCCTTGTACCTTTTAAAAATATTTTTGTATTATCTTCAGCTGAGGAAGTTCTTGCTTAGTTGTGTCCCTTATAAAAGCTGTACTTCAGTGTTTTACTTCATCTTGTCAAATAGAATGACTCTTATCATTTGATATGTTATTCAAGGGTGTATTTTATTTAATTTTAAAAAAAACTAAATAAGATGTTGATATACATTTTATTAACTCTTCCCTGTCCTACTTTTTAGTTATGATTTTTAAGTTCTCTTCCCATGATTGGCTCTGCTGAATCCTACTCAGCCCTGTAGTGAAGGTGGAGAATGGGGCACCTTGTTTTAATGCAGTGACAGTTTAAAGTATAGTGCCACTTGCTTTTCTTCCACCTTTCTTGTTTGCCCTTTATGTATTGCTGTACTGCCTAGGAGTTTCTTTTCATATATTGATGTCTTCTTGAGATCAGGCCCAGCTGTTCATAAATCTGTTGTTTGCACAATAGTTGTAAGGGCTGTTGCAACTGAATATGTGTTTACATGTGCCAGTTAGAGCTTACAATGATGTGGGCTTTCAGAAGACTGATAAATCAGGCCAGTTTTAATCCTTTAAACAAAACTTTAGATGAACATTCAGAAACAGCACGCTTCCTACTAATAATTCTTACACATTATTAGTCTTCATCACTATATATTCAAAGCAGTCAGTCCCTGACCTTACCTGATGTCAGCTGTGTGTACGCAGAACTGCACCACTCCAATGGCTGTGGTCCTTCATAGTCTTAGTCACCAAGGGTGCCAGGCTGAAGAACTATTTGACAAGGGATGATAGAACAGCAGTGGGCACCTTTTTGTTTCCCGTGGCCTCCCTAGTTTGAAATTGTGCCCTTCAATAAGATAACTCAGTTTCTAGATGGTTCCCAGCCCTTTGTCTCTGCCCTGGACTATGAGCTGCATAATGTTTGGGAACATGAGGTTACTTTATCATGTTGCAGGGCTGAGAGTTTCATGTTGTTTTTCTTCTTGCTTTGCTGCTGCTGCTTTTCTTGAAGCTTAAAGCAGTCTTTTCCTAGCTCCTGAGGCTGTACTTTTTCAATGACCAGTAATTGCCATCAGTGAGCTGTTTATAGTTTGGAAGCCTTAGCTTTCAACCTATGCTGATGTTTTCAAGGCCTTTGCTGTTACCACTCACAATTATCTCCTAACAAGGGATGCCTGGTGTCCATCTCCAGTTCACACAGCAAATTCTTTTAAGTTACTAAGAAGGCAAATGAGCCAGAATGAGGGCCTTGCATGGCTAGTATAAGGCAAAAGTAGTCAAAGGTCTGTGGCCTGTTAGAGGAGTGGCAATGCTATTTATTTACTGGGCAGTTGAGCACAAGTTTATACAGTTTTACTGTATTAGCTTACTTTGACCCCAAATATAAGCACACTAATGATAAAGTATACTTAGTGACATTCTATGATTACAGGTGGAGCAGGCCCCTTCTTTAGCTAAAGTGTTAAATATAAGGGCACAATACTACTGTCATTAAAGTCTCCTGCTTTCTGTATTATAGGAGGGTATAGAATAATACAGGATGTGTTTTTAAATAAATTCAAACATAAGACATCAGGGTCCTAATTTCAGGGAATATATGTGGAAAGCTCATCTTCTCCCCAGTGATATACAGTGCTGAAGGACTAATTTAATTTAGTCATAAAACCTTAACATTTTGACTAAAGTAACATTCATCAGCTTGTTTCTTCATGGTTGGTAATGAAATTAGCCCTGAAAAAGACAGTAAATAAATTTTGTAAACTTCAGTGATATCTTAGTACAAAATTCAAATTACCTACTCTAGTGAATTCATGATCTGCCTACAATTTTCAATATTATTGATTTGATTTAGATTTTAAAGATATATTGTGATAGAACTACGCACATTTTTTATAGTATGTCAATTTGGCTGATGTTGTTTGATGAGGCTTGATTGGTATTTAAAAAAAATTTGAAGCCTGAGTTAAGTCTGCTTACTACAGTAAAAATTTCATTAAGTGTATTGGAGGTTGCATCATAATTTAACAAATCAAATATCTTTGGATGTACTGTGGTGGGCTTTTTCAGTTTCAAGAAAAATGAATTAATCCTAAGATTTTTCTGTGGGTGAAAACAAGTTGATGGAATAAGCTGCAACTCTTATGATTTAATAAATCAGGACTCAGTAAGCACAATATAGGCACACAGGCTTTGAAATAGGAGTGTATTATGTATTAGTAGACACACTCCAGTCTACTGCCCAGAGTTCTTTTGTTTGTGATTTTGTTAGACATTAGGAAGTAACTGAAACAACTTAAAGTGACTTTTCTTACAACTTGTATTTTTTTTATAAGCCTATGTCATTTCTGCTTTGTAAGATCCATTTGTCTTAAAGAACCAGATGTTTACTCTCAGTGGTTTTTTTTTTGAAGGCAGCTGCCTGAGGCTGACCCCTGTTTCTGGTTTAACCCATAGTCAGAAAACAAGATTAATATTGTCTAAAGGCAGCTGTTCAGACTAAGGAAAAAAAGAAAACCATTGTATCTGATTTCAGCATTAAGATTTATAAATATATGTGTAAGAGGTGTCAGTTTAATCCTTGTCTTTCATCTCACAGTTTCCACCTTTCACCCTTGAGATTATTGCCTAAGAAAGACTCTCACCAGCAGTAATTATTACAGTTGCATGTTTGACTTGCCATATCCTGAGGAACAGTTGGTTTATAATTGGGTTTGCAATCCCACTCATAAATTTCATTAAGCCTATTCTGATAGTCACCAATTAAAAAATATTAACATCTTCATATTTGGCAAGAGGTGCTTCCCTAAGAATTATGGTGTAGAGAACATTTATGTTTCAAAAAGTGTTAGCTGAGAACTATATATAGCAGTTTTATCTTAAAAATTGTAAACATCAGACAACTTCTAAATGATATAAGAGACCACATGTTTGAAGTTGTGTACAACCTAAAACCAGATTAATTTATATAGTCAGAAGGAACAGTTTTTCAGCTTCCCATATGGAAGCAACTGCTTTAAAACTGCACAGTAGGTTTTCATTTTCCTGTATTTCTAGGTGAAACCTGTTTAAAATGTTGGTGCATTGTCTCTTTTTTTTTAAAAAAGTGATTAGTTTTATCTTCTTCCTTTATTTTCTGTGAAAAATCATAGGAAAGCACTTATTTTGATATTTTTCTTCATTGTCACTGAAGTCCTTCCAAGTACTTGCTGACTTTCTTACTGTGTCTGATGAGTCTCATGAAGCTGCATGCACCTGATGATGTGTAAGGGCTCCTTATGCAAACTCTGAGTCATGGCACTAAATTATAACTCACAGAAGTCTGAACTTGCAGCTTAGATCATACTGTGATGAGACTGTGGTGCTTCAGTCTGTACCAGGCAATTGTACCAATTCAGTAAATTTTTGTACTGTTGAAAAACTTCCCAAAGACAGTTACCCTGTTTTTCTAACATGGAAGCACTTGCATTTATTCAAGATTTCTTAGTGAATATCATACATTTTCCTTCTGCCCTCATTTAATGCATTAGACCTGTGTTCTAAGGTACTATTTTGTATTTTAGTTCCAGTTTTCAGGAATTTCAGTAATACTGGACACAAAAGTTCAGCTGTAATGTATGCTAACTGGGCCAAAAAGCAACAAACATACTACAATCTACTGTTAAAGTTAGTCTCTGCTCTGACTATCCTGAAAAGTTTTCCCCAGCTGTGATTAAATCCCTAGGAATCAGAACCTGTATCCAATTTTTATCTTGGATCCAGTTAAGGCAAAATCCTTCTTGCCTTGAATTCTTTAGCAATTGACCTCAAATTTAAAGGGCAGACTAATGGTGTATTGAAGTAGTTTGAAGTTGGTATTGCTAGAAGACAATACTGATTATTGTTGTCATCCTAGTGTTGTGAAGTTACCACACCAGATTGCTTGTCAGCTTAGTCTCCTGACTCTTTGTCTGCTTGCAGGCCTACTGTGGCTTCTCTAGACCCAACATTCCACCTCAGCACCTCTCTGCAGTGGCCACAGGAAACTGGGGGTGTGGTGCCTTTGGAGGGGATCCCCGATTAAAAGGTAATCTGGAGCAATTCAGTAATGTGCAGGTCAATCAAATAACTTAGATTTTGATTCTTGGCCTTCTGGGTTTTTTGAAGAAACAAAATACATGTTTGTTTTTTTTTAACTTTTGTTCAAATTGCACATTTTAGCCAAGAATTGGAATAATAGTTAAACTGTCCATAGAACTGCTTCGTTAGCTTTAGGGTGTGGTGCCTTTGGAGGGGATCCCCGATTAAAAGGTAATCTGGAGCAATTCAGTAATGTGCAGGTCAATCAAATAACTTAGATTTTGATTCTTGGCCTTCTGGGTTTTTTGAAGAAACAAAATACATGTTTGTTTTTTTTTAACTTTTGTTCAAATTGCACATTTTAGCCAAGAATTGGAATAATAAACTGTCCATAGAACTGCTTCATTAGCTTTAATCTTCAGGCCATGAGTTAATATGGCCTTGAACAATAAAAATGCACACTGCTTTTATGTGCAGTTTGAGTTTTTAAATGTTTGAGGTAAGTACATGATGGTGAAATGCTGGGTTTACAAGGACCTATAGCACTGGAACCTTCAAAAGCATGGGCACATCATACTAGTTCACAAAATAAGAACTGAAATGTTCATTTCAGGTTTCAATAATATAAATCAATTTACTTTCTTGGAGCAACCTTTTGGGATTTTGCCTAAAATTCCTATCTCTGCAAAGTTGTTTGAAGTACCTGGTAATTTTCAAGGCTTCACAAATTTGCTGGCAAAGCTTGATGTTTAGTTTTGCTCTTTAATCTATTGCTGTATGCCAGAGAGGCTTCCAGTCACTCAGACATGCTGCTTTCTTTCCTGACCTGCCTGCTATAGCATTCACTTTCTCATGTTCTTTTGTTTTTAATTAGTGTTTATAATGCAGCAGAAACCACATGCCTATGTTAATTTAAGACATTTTTTTCCATCAAGTCAAGACCAAATGTATCCTGACATTTAAATTGATACCTTGATTCATATAGTTCCAAGTAGAAATTTACATTTTTGTTGTTTTAAAACATTTGGAGTGTATTTAAAATTGACTTTTCTGAACAGCTTTAGGTAGTTACATTGAGACAGCCATCAGACTACCAGCTTCATTAGTTTTCTTTTTTAATGTGTTTTATTCATTGAGCAGCTATTTTTTCTCAAAGCTCAGTTGATTTTCTGACAGTTGTTTTTTGATTTCCATTAGATAAAATGGGCTGCCAAGTGCAGGTCATCAATATCAGAAGTAATATTTACTACAGGATCTGATCAGACTTGTTTATTATTATATTAGGAAGGTTTAATAAAAGCTTGAATTTGCATAAGGCCTTCTGTTGGATCTGAACTGTAATACCCTATGTGTATTTTATTAAATATAAGGGTTTCTGATTAAAATTATGGCTCATCTGATCTAAGCCATTATTTGTTCAACAAAAGGCTGAGAGACCTGGGGCTTTTTAGTTTGGAGAAGAGAAGATTTAGGGAAGATCTAATTAATGTGTGTAAATACCTGAGGGCTGCGTGTCAGGAAGGAAGGGGCAATCTCTTCTCACTTATGCCCTGCAATAGGACAAGGGGCAATGGTCACAAGCTGGAGCACAGGAAGTTCCAGCTCAACATGAGGAAGAACTTCTTTACTGTCAGGGTTCCAGAGCACTGAACAGGCTCCCCAGGGAGGTTGTGGAGTCTCCTACCTTGGAGACTTTTCAGACCCCTCTGGATGCGTTCCTGTGTGACCTGCCCTAGACTAGATGGTCCTGCTCTGGCAGGGGGGTTGGACCTGAGGATCTCCAGAGGTCCCTTCCAACCTCTAACATTCTGTGATTGCTCACTGCAATGTTTAGTTCCCCTTCCCATTGGTCAGAGCTCAGAACTGAAGCCTACTGACAAAGACCAGCAGACCTGAGTCTGAGGCAGCCCATGAGAAAAGTCTTTGATGTAGACAAAGAAATGAGGCATGAGATGTAGTGTTTTGGAACCTGGATAGGAACTCTGAACAGAATCAGACACATATAAAGACTTGAATATTCTCTCTGTTTTACTTTAACTTAATATTTTTACTTCCATTCATGTAGCTTTACCTCTGGTTTTTGATCAGCCTTACTCTTTTCTCAAAAGCCTGTGAGGATTAACACTTCCCAGCAAGTGACAGCACTGCTTTGGTTATGAAAGAGTCATTGAATTCTTGTTAGAACTGATCAGTACCATGGTTTCACTGAACCTCTATGAATAGCTTTTGTTGACTACACAGGCTTGACTGTGTGTTGCAATTGCAAAATAGTTTTTGTAGTCTAAAATCTTGCTTTTTCATTTAATGTCCCTAAACATACACCCTTGTCTTTTTGGAAGTAGTATCTGGATCTGTTACAGATACCAGAACCACCAAAGTATTTAATTTAATTGGCTATAACTGAATAAATGCCATAATCCATTATGGTATTTTATCATGACTTCTAGTTCTGAATTAAAAGAATGGTTTAAAGTATAAAAAATGGTTTCATTCAAGGTGACAGATGATGTGAAAACTAAAGGGGTTTATCCATTGCACTTCTGCCACCCTCGCTGGGTGGTGAAAAGCTGTCAGCACAGCCCTTCCCACAGGGGTGGGATCACATCCACAGGGTGTCAGGGGCAAGAGAGCCCAGATCCCTCCAGCCCCTGTACCACGGGCTCTGCTGCCCTTCCTCTGATGCTCCTTCCTGTATCAGCAGCATGGAAGTCTCACCTGGCATCCTATGTGGTTAATGCCCAGAAGACTCTGAAGCCTGGTTCATGGCAGAAATTTTGACCATTGTTTGATAAGATTTACAGCAATTCAAAATTAACAGTAGGCTATTTTTAATATCTTCTGTAAAGTGAAACCGTGTTGTTTGTTCAGAATGAATAATAAGATTCATTAGATTCTGTTCTCCTATGCACGCTAGTTAATTAGACCCTTTGAAAGCTGAAGTACTGAAGCTTTACCAAACCCACAGTTGGTACAGTAGTTTAATTAAAATATCATTCCCAGATTAAGATTAATTTCACCTGTGAATCGTGTAATTTATAATTCTAGCTATGGGTTTATAAGAGGTTTTTTATTAAATAATGCAGTATTTTATTAGGTCTCTTTAGAAATATGAAAGATTCTTGAGCTGAGCTATGATCTGCTTTATATTTCATTTCCACTAGCAGCTGGTAGTTCAGTACATGTGCTATTTTATTTAAAATTAATCTTTACAAAGACAATATTAATCACATTTTAATTGATTCTGTTTACTGGGTAGGAGAGGAAAGAATTAATAGCAGAACTGCACTCTGAAGTAAGACAAGCTGCAGTAGATTAAGTAGTTGCTGGGGTCCATTATTTGCACTGTGGTAACACTGTGTGAATGAATGTGTGCTCGACTGCATGCATCTCTGTCACCCCAGCCTCACAGGACTAGCTGGTGAAAAACCTCTGCTCCTGTAACAGTTTTTTGTTACCAAGAAGGGTCCTGTTTGTAATTCTCCCCTTCCCTGTCGTTGGCTGGACTGTCTGGTGCCCTCCCTTGCAGCAGCTCTGGCTCTTAGCAAAGCCTTCACTTGGCCAATTCAACTGCTAATCTAGCAGAAAACAATTGGCTCTTACTGTCCCATCCTACAGCTTCTCTGCCAGGTTGGTGGATGGAATTGGCTTGGTGAGATGTCTGATGAGCCCCTGAGAGGTGCAGAGAAGTCAGGAGGTGGGTGAGAAGGGAGAAAAAGTAGCTGGACCAGAGCCACTTTCTTCAGTTGCAGTGGGTCATTAGCTTGGTGCAGCTAGACCATTGGTCAATACTCCAGATGATTTCTCAAGGTGAATCTGCAAAAATCTGTTTCCAAGATAGGAATCCTCCTTTTTTTCTTAAAACAAAGTCTATTTTGTAGCTGCAGCCATTGGCAGAACTTGGGGCACTGCTTGGCCCAGCGAGTCTGACATAAGGCTGGAAGTTAAATAATCTGAAATGCATTCCTGACATCCCCACTCACTTTTTGTAGGTCAGAAGGAGCTGTTGTATTCCATGCTGCAGATGGACACTTTAAGTTGCACAGCAAGAGGCTGCAGACCCATAGATCTCTTGTGAGCTAAAAGTTAGGTCAGCTCCTGCTTTGTGCATCTTACCTAGAGAAAGAGTTGGCTCCATTCCTTCTCAAGGGTGGCAGAGAAGGGGAATTGTGTGCTGATGGCTGCTTTTGACCTCACTATTTGTGACTCAAGACAAGCAGCTTAAACCAGGATGTAAGATGGTGCTTTTCTTCTCATGCTGTTGTGCACATTCATTGGATAATGAGTGACTCCAGCAGCATAGTCCAACACTCTGAGCTGCAGTGCCCAGAATTCTTCACTTTGTTTTAAAAGTGGAAGTAATAGCTGTCAACCCATTGTTCAGATTGCTTTGCAGTGTTCACCTGAAGGTGGGTGGTGTGATTACTTGATGTAAACTGAGGCTTTTCTCTTCAGCAGTGTTTTCTCCTGTACTCACTTGTGTAACCTTTTGTCATTTCAGCCTTAATACAGATATTGGCAGCTGCTGAGGCCGGGCGTGATGTGGTTTATTTTACTTTTGGAGATGTGGAGCTGATGAGGGATATTTACAGCATGCACACTTTTCTCTGTGAGAAGGGTCAAACTATTGGTGAGCATACAGAAATCCTTTTGTGCTGCAAAGAGACCTTAACCATCTCTACGTGGAAATTGTCCAGGGAGAACTGCTGTTCCCAAGTCCTGAGCACAAGCCAATGGGTCTTGGTTTATTTGTACCTGTTTCCAGAGTGGGGAACTCTTCTGATTGAACTGCACAGGGTTAATCTGTTAGACTTCTAGAATCCTTTCCTAATTCACTTGGGAGTTAGGCTTCAGAATTTGAAGAATACAGCTACATGTGGTAGACAGAAGATTTGCAGAAGTTTTTAATACAACTCAAAATGCTTTAAAAAGGGAAAACTTGCTTGCACATTCTTGGTATAGATTTCTTTATAGTAGTTCTGGCTTGATCCTGCAAGATGTGCTCAGATTTATTATCCAGTAGCACTACAAGAAAAGCTGTGTATCCATTGCCCCACTGTAATTATTAAATGTCTTTAATTTTGGAGACAGGAGCACAAATCTAGGCACTTGGCAATGTGTTTGTAATACGTATGCAAGCCTAATATTCAGATAGCTTGTGCAGAAACCTCAGCAGGACGTTGAGGGAGCCCACCCTGTGTTCTGAATACACTTGGAAACAGCCACCTTCCCCTTCCACAGCTGGCTACCCCCTCTTTCACTGCTCATTGAAAGAAAGGTTTCTAGCAGCTCTCTCAGCACCAGTGTCCATTTCCTGCCTTCATTTGCAACCATGCTTTCTTCATATGGTATGATCTCACATGGGCTTTAATGAGTTCTTTTTCCTTTTAAGGGGACATCTATAGGCTGTTACTGAGATACTACAATGAAGAATGCAGAAGCTGTTCTACTTCAGGACCAGATGTCAAGCTCTACTCGTTCATATACAACACTGTTGAGTCCTATGCAGATTCGACTGATGATGATGAAGAAAAAGAGGTGTGCTCTGAGGATTAAAATACATGTGTTTGATCAGAATATTGTTCTCCTCCTCCCACTGGTATACTGTGTGAATTTCTGGGTATAACATGAATTGGTTTAACTTCACATATATTGGCTGAATTGGCAGTTATGTCTAACAAAGAAGACACACCTTTGAGAGAGATGATTTTTTTTTGATGGTTTCATAAGTGAAAACCTTCTTCATGTTTGTACAGAAAAAATGTCTTTGGTAAATCTGGTTTGTGTTCTCTGTACTCCTTTTGCCTTTACTTTTCAGAGATCTTACCTAGATTTCTCCTGGAAGTTTTAGTGCTGGAGTACAGGCAGCCATGTAACTCCTGGGATGATTTTTGTGAGAGGCATCATAAGGATCACTCTTACTGACAATTGTCATCATTTTATTACCTCCTGAAGACTGCCGTGGTACCTTCATTGTTCCTGTCAAATTTTTCATTCATTTAACTTAAAATGTCCTAGTTGAATCTTTTCTTTTTTAAATAATTGGTTAAAAATTAAAAGATTCTGTAGGAGCTATAATGTGTTTCACAACTGTATTGTCTTTACAGAATCAGACACAAAAGTTAGATTGAAGTAGAGAAAAAAAAATGAAGTGTGGGAGTGTGGGAAAATGAGAAATGTGACCAAAGTTAAAAGCAGAGGGAAATGTTTTCACATAACTCTTTAATATCATTTTGTTGGTGCTGTTCCAACATTGAACAAGGTCTTAGCCATGTTAGTATATTTGAAGTTTCTCAAGGTTCACTGTAATATCATCTGAATTAAGGTCTGCTAGTTGTTTATTTTGTCATATCAGTTCCCCTGTATTGCAGGATGCATATATGTGGATACAATATCCCCATGGAGTGAGTGAGGAAGTGGAAATCCCTTGCATATCAGTGGGATGAAAGTCTGCAGGCTACAGATAAGACCGTGGGGTCTTGTTAGGAGTTTGCACCTGGGAATTTTTAGGCAGGAATGTTAACAAGGAAGAGAGAGCAAAAGATCTGTAAAAACTGTGCTATTACCTATCTCTGTGAATACCAAATTAGTGTTGCTGTAGTACATAAATAGTTTACACAAATCCTGCAGGTATATCTGTGATAAAACTCTTCCAGGTCTACGTACAGTGTCAACCCAATTAAATATTTGTCTATTAGTAGTCTAAACCCAGTCTAAGTTTAAGCCAAACTTGCTCAATTTAGTCTCTTCTGCGTTAGATTTTCTGGTCTGTCATGATTGCTGGTACCAGCTGAGCAATACAAGTGAAAACCACAGCAGGAAATGTAGTGAGCTGAGGCTCTAGTATCAACAAATCCTTTTGGGCTGATGTCAGCTAGAACCTCTCCAAGCCCAAAACACACTGTGGTCATTAAATGTGGGAAGATTTTGGCAGTCCAGCAGCTGACTGGCTGCTTGAGCTGCTCTGGTGGAAGCAAAAGTAAACAGCCTGGCTCCTTGATTAAACCCCCTCAGAGTGCTGCACCCTTGCACTGATGCCAAGTGGGCAGCTTGGAAGCCTGTTGCTTGGAAGGTGTCTGACACAGCAGCTTTTAAGGGTTTCTTCCTGTTCTCCTCACCAGCTGTAGTTCTCTCCACCTCCAGCTGTTATGAGGAAGGTTTGGGCTGGACTTGCAGGACTGTTCCTGTGTTTGTTTGCAGCTTGCATCTCAGAGTCAGCAGAAATCTTTTCTCCTGCTTCTGGTGTTTCATTGTTGGGTCAGATCCTGGCCATAGGAATCACAGTGCTTGATAATAATTGGGCATTTAGGTTCAACCATGGTAGTGGTCCTAGATGAGCTGTCAGTTATAAATATACCCTGTTAATTAAGACAAGTGATGGAAAATTGGTGCTATCTGCCAGACCTCCTTCACCTTGCTACTCAGGATTTCCTATAGAAAAGGTGAACAGAATTTGTTCCTAAACAACTGGAAGAAAATAAAGCAAAAAGCTTTACCTGGGTGGGTGTCACCTCCCCTTTATTGTAAATAAATACTCCTTTATTAGTGCAATATTAATTTTCATTAGGAGGGGAAGTGAATGGTAGGGTATGAAAAGTGCACCAAAATAAGACAGTGTAAAATTCTGCTTCAGCTCTGGAAACAGAAAAATATATTTTACTTTGGAAAGATTCTCATCATATTATGATATCATATTATAGGGTATCCAGATAAGAGAGTTTTTGCAGTGTCCAGTGTTCCCAGAATAATCATAGTCATTTTATGCAGTCTGTGTTTTCACTGATTCCTGGGAGTTTTCTAGCATGGGGAAGAATGTCTTTCACTAGAGATCATTCTTTAGGATATGTTTACCATACATCCCCCTCCCCCCCAATGAAATACAGTTGTATGAACAGGAGAAAAGGGAAAAAAACCCAATCATTATCTGTATTATGTGTCATTGACCAAGAGTGGTATGTCCTGCATTCTGCTCTGCCCTGGTCTCCTGAAGGGCAGTGCTGTAAGAACACTTGGCACATGACTTGGATTGCAGACAGGCTGAAGGTTTTATTTTACTTGGTTGTTTTGTTTTGAAGCAAAATAGCCCAGAGTTACCAGAATAACAATGCTGTTACATTCCTGTGACTTTTTAATTCAATAAAGAGCTAAACTGCCCAGAATGCTGCATGTGGAAGCAGGAATTTTGCATCAGCCCAATACGTGCTCTGCTTCTTTTTCCCTCCACCCACCACTCTCCCTTTCTAAATGATCTGAAAGGTTTTCTTTAGCTAGAGGTGCCTCTTGGTGCTCTGTTTGAAGTAGTGTAGAATGGAGACACCAACCATCTCTCTGAGCAGCCCATTAAGCTTCAGTTTCACTCTTCTAGAAACCTATTTATGTAGTATTCTGTTGGGTTTTTTTTATTTTTTTTAATTATTATTTTAGGGATGTTTCCTATATGATTTCAAATAAAAATAAACTTCCTACCAAAACTTTTGGTTTATACTGTTTAGCAGCTAAATTGAGTCCTTAATATGAAACAACAACAGGCAGTCATGTAGATTGCAGTGTTGCCTCATAGTCAAAGTTGGTGTCAGAGCACTTGTGTCTTACAGCTCTTGCACCTAAATTCCTCAGTTTTGAGGTGTTGGTATCTAATAATGAGTACCCATTACTGTATATATTAATTTATAAACTGTTGAAGTGTTCCCAACATTCTTCTAATCTTACAGTTTATGCAACATTATATGATATTGATTTTTCTGGATCTGTATGCTAATGTTTACAGGATTTTGTAGGAATAAAATTTAAAAATTCTGACTGAAGCCATGTTGTGTTCTTTGTCTTGTAATATGCTCTCCATGACTGAGAAATTCCAACATGTTTGAATGTACCTGGCTCTACTACAGATAGTTTTAGCAGTAAACTTAGTAATTCAAGTATTTTGACATAAAATATGTCTAGTTTATTGTTACTGTACAGTGTTGTAGTGGTTGCTCCTGTCTGTGTAGCCGTGTAAAAAGAAATGACTGTCAATTGGAAGGGTGTCAGCATGAGTGTGAGATTCCATCCATGCCTGTGGCCACACATTTTGACTATAATTCCTGATTTGCTTCTGGTAAGCAAGTGTTTGATTATTCTTTGAACTTCATAGAGGAAGCAATCAAATAAAAGCAAAAAGAACCCTAAAAAAGAGATGAGTAACTAACAAGTTGTGTAAAAGTTTGCATGGTTTGTAAAAGTGGGACTGACAGCTTCCTAAATGAAAATATTTAAATCTTTTAGATGTTTTTTCAAAACTCTTAAGGAGTAAGGAGCTCATTTTTTCAGCATTACAGAAAATGTAAATGGCCAAAATGCTGCTGTTCTCTTTACCAGGGGTTTGGCTGAATGTTGAGTGTCAGCCTGGAGATGACAGACTTCTGGTAGCGTGATTTCTGAGGAGAGAAGAGTTGATGCCCTGTGTGTTGTACCCTGTAAATCCCAGGGGATGAGGAGGAGGAGGAAGGTGTTCACACTCCTGCTGCAGTGGGGAAGCAGCTGCCAGTCTCTCCTGTCCCAGGCTGTCACACATCTGACAGTGATCAGCAAATGCCCTCAGGAATACAATTTATTAATTCTTAAAAGTGGTTGGAGCCTGTGGAGATAACTCCCCAGGGATAAGGACAGGTGCAAGGACTGCTTCCCCATGGACTTTACCCATTGCTCTCCACTGCAGACCACTGGCCTTCCCACCTGTGTCAGTATTTGGATGGAGGAGTGCCAGACCACTACATTTCACAACTTAGGAGACTTCCCATTCCAGTTTCTGCATCCTTTCAGCCTAAGCAGCTTTCTAGGACAGAAGGACAGACAGATGGATGTCAGACCTCAGGATACCCAAAGCTGTTCCAAAATCTGTAAAGTTCACTGTGATATTTCCACATTAGTCAGTGCAGGGAGGTGCAAAATTTGCTCTGGATGGGTGTTTGGGGGTTGGGGAGTGTGTTTCCCTTCTATTTTTTTAAATGCACAAAAAGTTTCCTCTCCCTATTTTGTGGTACATTTTTGACAAAAGTGAGAACATCCATAAAATCATGTTTGTTGGTTTTTTTTTAACTAAGCCTTGAGTATTTATGATCTTATTTTGTGCTAACAGTGTTTCATGCTCATTTATCTTTGCTCTGAGTGCGTGTGACCCAGGAGCTGCACAGGAGGTATCTGTCACTGATAACTCCATTACAGCAACACCATCAATTTGGGCTTAGCAGAGCTGTCAGCTGGGGTTTGTGGCACAGGGCTGAGGGAGGTGCTGGCATGTTCCCAGTGCTCCTGGTGCTGGTGTGGCACACAGTGACAGTGTTTGTGGCTGTGTGTGTGCTGGCGGGTTGATACACGGTGTGGAGGCCTGAAGGAGCTGTCACAGACAGGGAGTGTGGATCATTGATGTGTAGTTCCACCAGCTCTACATCTGGCAAGCAGAGGTGTTGTGGTTTGAGGCTTGGAATGGGGGCGTGACCTTCCAGCAACTGGGAGGACCCCGGGTGGGGGTGAACCATTGTATTCCCTCCCCTTCCCACACACACTCTGATAAGAGGCAGGGAGTGGGTTCTAATTTCACTCCTGCCTTGGA